ACTCCTGTAAACATTTACAGCCTCAGAAACCCCAAGGGGTCACTCTGAGTTGGCATCAACTTGCTGGCAGTGAGTTTGAGTTTGGAGTGTCATAAAGATGGATTTATGGAGTAGACAGTCTTTTGAGACTCTAATTTTTCACTGAACATAATGCTACTGAGATTCATCCATATTACTGTATTTTATTGCTTGAGTAGTATTCCGCTACAATTAGGAATCATTCAGCAATTAAGAATCTTTCAGCTGTTAATAATTTTTGGCAATACTGAATAAAGTCACTGTAAACATTGGTATGTGGGCATTATGTAAACATGTTTCATTTCTCTTTGAAAAATGCCTATGGGGGAAATCCTTCTACTCTCCTGGTTTCTGTTCCAACATACCCACATTCTAAATAGCTTTTGAGGTGTAGCAACGATGGCGAGACTTCATCTTACCTACTTTGGGTGTTTTGTCAGGACCGACCAGTCCCTGCAATAGGACATCAGGGTTGAGAAAGTAGCGGGGCAGTGAAAAAGAGGCAGGCCCTTGAGGAGGTGGGTTGAGCCAGCGGCTGCAACAGTGGGCTCAGGCACAGGGACAGTCGGAAGGGGGGTGTAGGCCTGGGCAGTGCTTGGCTCTGTTGTGCAGCACATCACTGGGGGCAGGAACCGCCTGGGCACCTCCTGGGAACAGCCACAGCTCAAGGTTTATTTTTGACTTATTTTCCTAAATGAGACCCTAGGTGAAAATAATTTGCTTTTCCTCTGAATTCTCTTAGTTTTTTCTGTGTCTTGGACAGGCACTTTGTGTTTTGAATACTTCTACAATCCTATACTTGCCTCCACTATTTTACTTGTAATGTAATTGTCTGATGGACATCCTATTTAATACATCTCAGGACCTACATTGCCTGGTATATAGTGGTGACTCGATAAATATTTCCAGAATTAATGCATATTATGCTTTCTGAATTTAACCGTGCATTAAAATGCAACCAATCACACTGTGTTAAAATAAGAATGAAATAAAGATTGAACCATTAATGCCAAATCTGACTAAGCTATCAACTCACTGTGTAAAACTGTAGATTAAAAAAAAAAAAGTGTCTCCCTTTCCTTTCCGTTTTCCATCTCTTTTTGGGAATCGGGGATTAGATC